TAGACTCGCTTGCTTGCTTCCAGTAGTATTATAGATTAAGGTGCAAAGCCATAAAGTAGCTTAAGAGAACATGACCTATTGGTAATGAAAGGTTTAAAACATGAGTTGAAGCCATGACATAAACAGATAAGTCTTCAATGTCGTAATCTGTACCTCTTTAAAATATCACATTCATGACACCATGATACAGACAATTGAAAGAGATACAGAAAGTGAAAATACATAGTTTAAAAGTTAGGATGGCGATGAGAGTGCAGATGACAGCAATGACTGAAACCGACGATAATGAAAAGCACTAAAGTGCAAACCCTCGGCGGTAAACGCTGTATGCCGGGTCATCATGCGTCATGGACGGAGCCAGTAACACGAGTCTCGCCGTAAGCGGTTAGAGCAATTGCTCAGGTTTTTCAGAGGCTCTCATATTTGCTTTATTCGTACTTCTGTGTTTCAATACTCTCGCCATACGTTTTATAGATGGGAAGGTATGGCCGCATCCACAAACTGCTCGCCACCTGAACTATTATGCTACATTGTGAACATAGTTTGCTCAGCATGTTTATCCACTAAAAACAGAGATCAAAACTGACAGAAGCCCGTGGATCGTACAACCAACATGGCGTAGCGCATGCTCCGGCGAAAAATTGACACGACGCGTGCGCGCTATATAGCCTACCGGAGAGGGCGCGTGCGCCATCGACCTCACGTTGGCTTTTTCGCTTGTTTTCGCGCCATATCTCTGGAACGCAGTCGTTCAGGAAAATCGCCACGTTATATCCATCTTCTCGTTGTTCACAACCAGTTGGTGCCACTTATTGGCCGCCTCGTAGCCTTTAGTGCGAGAACTCGTGCGGACAGACAGACAGACCAAGTACCGTAACCCTCGCTGCGCATGCGCGCCAAGGGTTAATGATATTACGCGGGGCCCAAATGCGCCAGCTTACAGCGAGAAACTGGCATAGCGCGACGTGCTGCATGGCCGGCTAACCCCAACGTAACTGCAACGGCGCTTGCGCGCGATTCTTTTGCTCAGTTGCAAGAAATCTGACGACACCACGCATACATACATAGCTACACAGCATCATGCACAGATGACCAAAGCGTTATAGCCATGAATAACGATTTGGACACAGTCAAATGACTGTTGCTACGATACAAGGCTCGAAATTCAAGGTTGGCAAGTGGCCTGTTCAAAAGGTATTCATTACCCCTGTGAATGCGCTTCTTTTGCACAGATCTAGCGTGCAATCATCATGCAGGGAGCAGGTACCGCACATGACTAGCCGCGCGGAAATCTTCTATACTCTTCAGCTGCGCTTGGTCCGTTTGCGCGTATGGAAAGTGAATTTTGGCGAGCGGAAGCGAGCTATAATCATCGAACCACGTTCTTCGACTGTCTCCGAGGCACGAGGCTGTTAGCTGGGAACACTGTCTCTCGCTAGTCAGAGCTCACAAGCTTCTTTGGTGTCTGTAGCGCGCCCGCGGGCGCGTGCGCATGCGCGCTAATTAGATGACACGTTACGTCGTATATAGCCGGCGCTCACGGCGCTCGGCAATACTGTGATCAGTATTAATAGACTTCCTATTACATACAGCCGATCACCACATATTGCGACTGAAGGGCTGGGGAGAGGTCCTGGCATATGGGCCACTTTGTGCCACGTTTTGCTTTTCACTTGGAGTACATATTTATTATAATATGCCAACACAAGGCATGTCTTTTTAGGCTATTTGTATAGCTGCATAGGCCTCAATGCAGGCAACTTTTGAAAATTTTGTGGCCACATAGCAAGAGAGAAGCGGTGCTCTTCTGAAAGTCATATGCATCATGAAAGAAGTCAAAAAGCAGATGACCTACACTACACGATGAAACACATTTCATTTATTGATGGACGGATGGACGGATGGATGAGTATACTGGGAAAAGACTCTGTCATCTGCAAAATGCAGTGTGTGCTGGTTTCACTTCTCCAGGCTGCGACAAAATTTCTAAACATTAATTTCCAAAAATGTTCAGTTATAATTATAGCTTGCTAGAACTCTATTTCTGTTGTAGTTTTAGTATTTTGTATATATTCCATAAGTAGGAGAGATTTTAGCAGATCCCAATCATTATTACTGATATTGTGCGAATGTTACTGACAGGCATTTGCTTCACTTGCACTGGGCATTGTGTATACCGTAATGCTTTTACATACTCGTGTTAAACTGCGCATTCAACACTTGCTTGAAAAAATACCCCTTGTGTTACATAAATAATTATGAAAGATTCTAACTTCTAGCTATTATGCACATACTCCTAAATCACCTACATGAAAGCAGTTGCATCGATAACAGCACATTCTTCAACACTCTGTTCTGATATTCCCTCCAACTATGAATATCTTCTCGGGCGATTCATTGGCTACCAAACACCTCCTCCTCCCAATAGCCAAACAACCAATCTCCACCCACTTGTGGCCCACTATCTGGTGAATAAAGTTGACTGGTGACTCTCCAAACCCTCCACCAATCGACTACCAGCTCTCCACAGAGAGTGGCTGCTGTCGAATCCTTCTGAGGTAGAGTGGGGAGATATCTCCATATAGATGTATGTGGCACAGAGTGCAGTGGTGGTTGTGATATTGGTTGACACTGCTGTAGTATTTCCTGAAGAGAGCACGAGTATCCACTGGTATCACTTCCTATTACATGCAATCGATCACCACATATTGCGGCTGAAGGGCTAGGGGAGAGGTCCTGGCATATTGGCTACTCTGTACCACGTTTTGCTTTTCACTTGGAGTATTTCGACGGTAGTAGTCCAGTTGTCAATATTAATACACCCTCCAATAACGACAACATGGTTGCAATCAGACGTACTAACTACAGCAGGGCTGGAACGTGCTGTTCGCATTTGCGGATAAGTCTCGTGCCATAGTTCATTCTGCCGAAGTGTGAGCAGTTTATTCGTGGGCAACGATCCATCTCGTCCTCCCACTGCAGTCGGTTCATGATCTTTAAGTACGACTAGTCCAGAGTTTCGATAATGGCATGATACAAGTTCCGTCCATTGCTCCGTATCGAATTGATACTTGTACAGTGAGGTGGAGTCACATGGATGTAAAGTACGCAGGTGTGCCGTCAGTTGCTACGGATCCTCTGTGCATGGAACAAGGTGGTCTCTTGCCCTTATGGAGGCATTGAACCTTTAGCTGAAGGGAGACACAAAGTAAAATGCCTGTATACAACTTTATAGCTGTCATACTTTTTGTCAGTGGTTAATAAATCTCTCTTCTAACATGGAAGGCCTTACTATGGCAAACAATAATCGAGGAACAAACATATGCATGAGCACACTTTTGAATAGCACACATGATGCGTTCCTCAGTGCATGACACTCTAATAATCATTATAGAAATGAATATCATCCACACGCACATGGCGCACCTGTGCTGGTTGTTGTGCAGGTGGTGATAGTTCAGGTGGGGAGGGTGCAGGTGTGCACGTCATTGTGTGGCCAGGAATGCTCTGAATATTATGAGAACCAGCAGTATTCACGGTAGATGGTAAACCTTAATGAATACTGATAATGTTGCATTGTGATCTCATGCAGAAGGTATAATACACATGATACACAATGCATGTATGCAACTTTGTTGCTTTGGGTTCTTTTATTAAAGTTGAATGAGACTAATGTCCCGATACGGTTAATATAATTATACCTTTCTTGGTTTAGCTGTAGGTTGTAGATTAACAGTCTCGTATGGTGTGTGCAGGGGTAGAGGGTGTGGTGGTAGAGCTGGTACTTGGTTCTGAAAGTTGGGAAAGTAAAGGACCTCACATGAAGTAATGTATGGTATAACAAGGCATATGTTGGTTTCAGTAATTATGTATATATGGGCATCAATGCAGGAAATACTGTTTGTACGCAAGTCTGTGTCCCTCTCGTCTCGTAAAAAAACTGACCAAGTATGCCATAATGAATGTGACTCTTACATACATATAATATACACAAGAGTCACAACATAAATGCCTTGTTTTGGCATGCACACATTCATTACTACCTTTCTTGGAAAAGGTGCGGGTTGTTTGGAAGGAGGTGTATCTGTTGCTAGGAGACCAGTCTTGGTCTGAGAAAAGGGGGAGGAGTAGCCAATACACACATTGCTACAGAATTCATTCTCAGTGAGTGAGAGGTTAACATATTCACTATAGCTACTGACCTTTGTCTCTGGATCTCTTTGCTTGAGCAGCTTTTGTAGATCTGCCACTTGACTCTCCTTCAACCGCAGCTTTTCGTCCTGCAGATTCATAACAGTCACAATGATTTATTCAACACACACTCACAGTTCACCTTCTCTTTTAGTTGCTTCTGAGCTTTATCCAATTCTTCTTGCTTTCTTGCTAGCTGTTGCAGCAACATCTCTTCCTTCTCACTCAGTTTCTCCACCTGCAGTGTTGTGCTTTTCTCCTGTTGGATAAAGTGTCGTTCCTCAATCTCATTCTCTCGTAGTTGAACGGTCACATGCAATTCTTAGATATGCGTATTTACACTGGCGCTGCTTAGGAGGGTTAACAGTTCAGTGCATGAGGCAGAACATGGTAGATGCCTATATGTTGTCCTATTGGTTTCATATTTTCAATACAGTATTTACCAGAGATCTTCGTGAAACATTTTCTAAGCCTAACTCGGAAACGTCTCCTGATTGTGTAACTTCTTCACTGTATCTGTATATAGAAACAGTACAACCATTGGTAGACACAAACATCAGGATACACAACAAACTTACACTGCAGTTTCACTAGCTCAGTCATGGGAGGACCATCTTTCATTGGACAGGACTTCACGTGATGATGAAGGCAGCCAGCTCTCCCTGCAGCCACACCCTCTGTCGTCGTGACGACAACAGATTCGCTGTGAGTTCACTTGACGCTGGAATGTTTGTCCAACATTGTGCTCCAACTTTGCGTCTTGCACACTGGACACGCCCCTCCTTTTCCCTTATATCTGCAACAGCTTTTGCGAGAGATGTTTGCCACAGCATGAAGTGAGGTGGGGATGAAGCAGGAAACACTTTAAAACTGGGCAGAATAAGTCATCAGATGGCTGCTCGACAAATAGATAGTCTTCCGTTTCGGCTCTGAATTTGAGAAAGATAACAAGTAAGGTAGTGCACAGTGAATAACAATATAGCAACCCACCCTCAGTTATAGATGCAGCACTGTCGATGGTGAGAGGCTGTTCACTGTGAGAATTCTGTAAAAGAAAAATTGAGCTATACGCCAATTTTAGAATGCTATGAAATATAAGTACCTCTGTTTGATGGAAATGGTAGACACAGGTGCCAGCAACTGTGAGTGTCGCAACAAACCATTTCTTCAGAATGCCTTTCGGAACGTTTGTCTTCAATTTCTCGACAATGCAGCTCGGTACGTGCCAGGTGACGATAAACGAACCAGGACGAACTGCAGATATCATCATTGCAAACTCTTGTAGTTTGTAGTGAGAAGCGTATGCTAGTCGGAACTGCTCCACATCTTCAAGTGTCATGTCAGTGTGTAATCGAATTTGACACCACCTCCTCAAATCCTGGGGAGAGCCTGATTCTTTTCTCTCTTGTTTCTGACAGAATAAAGCTAAGGCGTCTTCATTCTGAATTGCATTAGTTCTGACTTGTATTCTTCCATCTGGGGTTTAACTCTTTCAACCCAAACGTATCGACGATACTATCCAGTAGGTGGTAGGAGAGATAGTCCATGTTGTAGTCCAACTGTCCAATGAGCATAGACTGATTGTCGGCTTTCTCGAGAACCTCCATTTGATCAACTGAGAATATTTTGTGCTCACTAATGTCGTCAGGTGAGAGTGATCCGAGAGAGTCGGTTACAGATTCAACTGGAATGTGGTGTGTCTCCAGGCTCTTTATGGTGTCGCTCTTCACAGCTAGAATTTTTCTCCAGCTCCTTCATTTTATCCAGAACATCTCTGCTGGTAAATTGACCTGTACAATACCGTGAGTAATTGATACTCAGGTTACAATGCGAGGTCTTACTTTGGTTTGGCACTGCTGGTTTCTCAGATAATTTCTCTGTGGGAAAGAAACATGGGGTGAATATGAACCAAGAATAACCACAAGCAATCATGTGGTCTGTATAAGCCAACACCACCCTGTGTATCCAACAATTTTTGGTGTACATACCACGAGTAGAAGATGCAATTCTAGACTTCCCAGCATCTGAGTGTCTGCATGACTTTCTCTACCTGATGTGCGTTAGTAATAGAGACATGATACAACTTGTGAATAATGTATTTACCGGCAGTCTTGGGCACGTCTGTGTTTGAGGATGGGATAATACTGGTGGCCACACTCTCTGTATGTGTGTGTGTGGGTACCAATCGGTCATGACTGATTCGTGCAACTCATCGTAACAAGTACCAGTTGTCTGAGGGGCCACGTCATGGTCAGAGGTATGGGCAGGATTGTTGCTGTTTCAATTTGTCACTGTTTGGTTGATTTACGCAGGACTTCTTTGAAGGCTCTCACCAGTGAGTCGTGCGGCGTTTCAGGAAATGAATTTCGTTCCCGACGAAGAGTGTTCCTCGTTGTTTCTTGCTAGGGTTGCCCGGGCCTGCCGCCTACTCGAATCGACTAATTCTCTCCCGAACGCATTGACTCTTCTGCGAACTGTGAGCTCAGTTTTGTCCAAAATACAAGACACATTCCTCCCTTACTACGATATTTGGCCGAGGCTTTCTTGCGTGCATGCTGATCTTCAGTGTGAAAGGAAATGCAGCGTAGTAAAAAAGTAGGAAACTCATTTATGTAAATGAAAAAACAAATATATACTGGTACTAGACTTACTGTTGATGTGGTCGGGAGGGTTGGAGGTTGAACATGAACTGCATGTCCAGCTCCCTCACTATAAAGGCACGTCCAGGCACATCAAGTTTTGAACCCACATTTAAGAGAGCAATTTATTCCCTAGGGAACCTTAGTGCTTCTTAAGAGTTCACGCTAACGAGTCTGGGATAAAGAATGTAAGGACGAAGGACATTTTCTTAACTTCATCTCTTAGCATGATGGCAAAGTCACGGAGTTGATAGGAACTCCCATATTGCTGCCGGAAATCCTCAATGTCTTGTAAAGTTAGCTTTTCTTTTGTTGGTTTGACTTCTTTAAACTTAACCACTACCTTCTGAAACCCATCTGGTTGCTCAATGCACTTATTACCAACCTCGCAGAAAAGGTCTAAAGGCATTCGCTCACGAAAAATGTGAAGATCATTCATATAGTCTTCCATATCACTTTTCATTCCATTTAGGGGCAAAAGGTTGTTTACAAGGTGTTTCAGAAAATGCGGAGAAAGATATGTCCAGTGGAGGTTAAGGTGACTAAATAATTCCAAGTAATCCTCGCTTTTTCTAAGCTCCTTTAATTTCTCTTTGAGGAAAACTTTGTATTGATCTATTTCAGATGAACTTAATGTCGTTAATTCATATACGACATCTTTAACCCCAAGTTTACTTGCTTCAAGCAATTCTATAGCTCTTTTCTTTAGACAGTTAAGTTTATACTCAAGAACATGAATATCATCTTCAACCTCCTTAGGCGTGCCTGTCATTTAATCAGCGTCGCATAATAATATTATGGCTAATACAAAATTCATGAATTACTCACGGTATGGTTTTAGGCCAGTAGCACATTGAGATGATGGCTCTGTTCTTATCTCATGTCCATAACCAGCTGCAGTAGTAGTGTTGGCTGCAGACTCTGTGGTGTCTATGATAGAGACATGGACAGTCAGAGCTGATGGTAACATACCATTAGGTACCACATCACGTGTTGCGGTAGAGTCAGGGAAATTAGCTGCTTCCACTCTCCTAGCGAGAGCCGTTAGACCGACTACAGGATTCTTGAGAGCATCATCACCAGCAGTAGTGGTGGCTGCAGACTCTTTGGTGTCTGAGATGATAGAGACATTACCAGCTAAACCAGCAAGAGAGCTATGAGTGGACCTGATGGTAACATACCAGTAGTAGTCTCAGGTAACACATCACGTGTTGCGGTAGAGTCAGGGAAATGAGTTGCTTCCACCCTCGCAGCTAGACCTGGTAGATTGACAGAACGACTCCTGAGAGCTTCCACAATGACCCTCCATGTCGGCCTGGGCTGGTTTTGCCTCGTGAAGGCAAGAAGAATTTGCAGCAGACGCTCTTTGGGATCCTGGTATTGGCGGTGAATCGCCTCCACCTCGTGTGGCGGCAATAGCTTGAGCCCGAGTGTGTAGGACTGGTTCTGCGCCTCCACAAGCTCGTCCAAAATTCGCGTCACGTCGTCCTGTTTCAACGTCTCGTCGACCGCTGGGGCTGCGCAAGCAACTGGTTAACATTATACAGCATAATCACCCTCTAAAAGTATTCACTTTCCGCCATCCGTAAAGCAGTTTGCAGTGGAGAGTAAAGCAGATCTTCTGTTTGTTGTTGTCTTTACGTACCTCCTTGTATCTGTGCTACGCCACTGTATCAATGTTTAGCGGGTGTTTACATATCTCCAAAATTTTTTATAAGGATCGCTAAAGAGGGGTGGGGCTCACCGTTCAAGCTTTCCTTGCGCGTGCGCATGCTTGAACGTCGGGGAACGTGACCGAGAGAGGGTGTGGCTCAGTATGTACATGCAACCATCATACGACAGCGACAAGATGAAGCTGGCTGCTCTTTTCCTGATCTCCTTGGTCTCTCTTGGAACAGCGGAGGGGGTACTGGTAGAGGTGTTGTTGGATACGGGGAGCGCACGGACACTAGTGCGGAAGGAATTGGTGCCGGAGGGTAAGGTAATGGGGGAAGGATGGTTGGTGTCCGGTGCGCACACGGTGAGGTGATTCACTACCCGATCGCTGAGCTGGAGGTGGTGGTCAGGGACAAGAAGATTATCGTCAAAGCCGTAGTGTCCGATCGACTCCAGGTCCGGTTTTTGTTAGGGCGTGACGTGCCCGAGTTGTTCAGTTTGCGAACGACGTGGGTTTGCCAACGAGAAGACGGCTCTGGAAGACGAAAACAAATGGGTGGCGCTGGACATGACGACAGCCGATCTAATAGTAGCCCAGCGGGACGACCCAACCCTGGCGGCAGCTCGAATGGTAGCCGAAGGGAATCCTGACCTATCGGAGGGAGAGGGTTTCTACTACGAGAACGATATCCATACCGCCGATGGGAACCGAAGGGACCCGAAAACGAACACGGCCCAGTATACCAGTTAGTATTGGAGTGTTGAGACGCCGCATTCGCCATCGCTCACAATATCCCTTTCGGGGGACACTTATGGAAAACGAAGACAGTCCAACGTCTCCTGAGGCGATTCTACTGGCCAACGCTGTTCGGCGACGTAGTGAAGTTCTGCCGTGCATGTCAGCTCGACTCCGCCCGTCGCGCTAGTAAGGCCCCGCTCATCCCGTTACCGATCATTAGTGAACCATTTCGGCATATCGCAATGGACACTCTACCAAGGACTGCAAGTGGAAAAAGTTATATTTTGGTGGTGTGCGATTATGCCACCCGCTACCTGAAGGCCGTGGCACTGTTGTCAACAGACGCCGAACATGTAGCGGAGGAACTGGTCCGCATCTTTTCCAGAATGGGGATACCGGAAGAGATCCTCACTGACCAGGGACCGAATTTTATGTCCCAGCTCTTAGCCGGGATCTACAGTTTTCTCCGGATCAGACCAATTCGCACGAGCCCATACCACCCGCAGATGGATGGGCTGGTTGAACGCTTTAACAAGACACTAAAGCGATGGTGAGGATCACTGAAGGTCGTAGCTGGGACAAGCTATTACCTTATGTCCTCTTCGCTTACCGCGAGGTACCCCAGGTGTCGACTGGTTTCTCCCCCTTTGAACTATTGTATGGTCACGAAGGGGACCCTTAGACGTACTTCGGGAATCCTGGGAACAACCAACATCGACCGACGAGAATATAGTTTCATACGTGCTCAAGATGAGGGATCGACTGGCGGAAATGTCAGAGATCGTACAGGAGAAGCAGTGGTACGACAGAACGGCTCGCACTCGAAAGTTCAACCCAGGTGATCGCGTACTCGTCCTGTCCACCCACAAACTGAGGGCACAGTGGCAAGGCCCCTTCACTGTTACCGAGAAAAGGGGTGAAGTTAATTATGTAGTGGACATGGGCGATCGAAGGAGACGGCTACTGACATTCCACGTCAACATGTTACGGCAATGGTACAAGCAGAAACCCATACCCGTCTCTCTTTACACCGAAGAGGTGCCAGATGAAGACTCCGAGGACATAGTCTGGTGGGGCGATGGTTAAAACCTAACCCCAGTGATCAACATGCAGCTGACCACCGAGCAAAAAAGGAGGTGGAGCAAATTTAAAGATGTATTTGACACCAAGCCAGGAATGACGAGACTTACGGAACACTGAATTGAGACTGGATCTGCGAAGCCCTTCAAACAGACACCATACAGATTGCCCCACGCTTATAGAGAGACCGTCCAAAAAGAACTTGCTGAGATGGAGAAGGACGGGATAATTGAACCATCGACCAGCGAATGGGCGTCACCAATTGTATTAGTCCCCAAAAAGGATGGTAGTTTGCGAATGTGCGTGGACTATCGCCGATTGAACAGCGTGTCCGAAGCAGATGCCTACCCAATGCCGAGAATCGTCGACCTCATCGACCGGCTCGGGGACGCCAGGCACATATCAACGCTAGATCTAACCCGAGGTTATTGGCAGGTGCCAGTTGCATCTCAGGCTGTTTCCCGCACAGCATTTACGACACCCTTTGGCCTGTACCAATTTACGGTGATGCCATTTGGGCTCCAAGGAGCCCCAGCTACTATGATGGACGTGCTGCTCAAAGGAATCAGAGAATACGCTGAAGCGTACCTCGACGACCTAGTAGTGTTTAGCCGTACCTGGGAGGAACACTGACATCACCTATATTAATGTCATAATTACAGCATGTGCTGTAATAACACAGAATGTGATTATGTTGGCTAAGCATGGATAAGATAATCCAAGCTGGCCACATGCATTGAATAGTGTGTACCAGCGGGTTTCTTTCGTCTATTATTCTTTCAATTTCCGAGAACGAATACTTCACACTGTTTGTCCTGGTGAATGCAAACTTAAGAACGTAAGCTGCGAATTTTCAGTTTTGCTTAACCTGAACCAAAAACACAGTAGCAAAGATCACTTGGCCTGCAATAATATGATGTGTGCTATATTATAGCTAACCCAAACTTTACCATCCACTGTGAATACTGCTGGTTCTCATAATACTCAGAGCATTCCTGGCCACACAACGATGTGTACACCTGCACCACCACCACCTGCACCCTCCCCACCTTAACTATGCACGACGACCAGCACAGGTATACCCCGTGCATGTGCATGTGCATGCTATTCATTTATATGATGATTATTAGAGTGTCATGCACTGAGGAACGCATCAGTGTGCTATTCAAAAGTGTGCTTGCTAATCACGACATATGCCTTGTTTTTGCATTCATACACTTCAGAATGATGTGCATTACTTTCTCAACTCTCAGAACCTAGTACAAGCTATACTCCACCCTCTACTCCACCGCACACCATACGGGATGGTTAATCTACAACCGACTGCTAATCCAAGAAAGGTATTATGACAGAGTTGCAGTGTATATAAGATTTCACCTCACGCAACAAAGTTGCATTGTGTACCATGACATTAAAAGTACAGCAGCCGGCTAGCTGTAGTAATTATAGCTACCTTCTGCATGAGATCACCATGCAACATTATCCGTATTCATAAAAGTTTACCATCTACCGTGAATACTTCTGGTTCTCATTGGCATACCTCCAACGTCACCACCTGCACAACAACCAGCACAGGTATGCCCCCGTGCATGTGCATTTCTATAATGAATATTAGAGTGTCATGCACTGAGGAGCGCGTGCTGTTCAAAGTGTGCTCATGACATGCATGTGTGGGTCCCACGAATATTGTTACAGTACAGCAGCAGGCATAATATTATTCCTTCTACATGAGATCATCATACCACTTTTATTCATTAGGGTTTACCATCTACCGTGAATACTGCTGGTTCTCATAATACTCAGAGCATTCCTGGCCACACAATGACGTGCACACCTGCACCCTCCCCACCTGAACTATCATCACCTGCACAACAACCAGCACACGTACACCCCGTGCATGTGCATGTGCATGCTATTCATTTCTATAGATTGAGGAACGCATCCATGTGCTATTCAAAAGTGTGCTTATGCATGTGTTTGTTCCTCGATTATTGTTTGCCGTAGTAAGGCCTTCCATGTTAGAAGGGGGATTTATTAATACCTGACAGAAAGTATGATAGCTATAAAGTTGTATACAGGCATTTGACTTTGTGTCTCCCTTCAGCTAAAGGTTCAATGCCGCCATAAGGGCAAGAGACCACCTTGTTGCATGCACAGAGGATCCGTAGCAACTGAAGGCAAATCTGCGTACTTTACATCACATGACTCCACCTCACTCTACAAGTATCAATTCGATACGGAGCAATGGACGGAACTTGCATCATGTCATTATCTAAACTCTGGACTAGTCGTACTTAGAAATCAGGAACCGACGGCGGTTGGAGGACGAGATGCATCGTTGCCCACCAACAAATTGCTCACACTTCGGCAGAATGAACTATGGCGTGAGACTTATCCGTGAATGCGAACTGCACGTTCCAGCCATGCTGTAGTTAGTACGTCTGACTGCAGCCATGTTACTGTTACAGTGGGTCCCACTTAATATAATATCCCGTTTATAATCATACAAACCTGAAATCCAAAACCATTTCCTATGCTTTCCCATACATTTTACTCCGTTTCATAGAATACATACAATACGGATAATGTCATATCCCGCCTATTATCATAGAAAAATTGAGCAATTTTGGTTTTTGCCCATATTGTCATTATTGCGCATGCGTAATTAGGCATTCTACAACCTTGGGCTGCAACTCTCCATTCTCCACCTGGCATCCATTAGCTTATGTAAACAGCTAGGCTAGCCTAGCTTAGCTAAACAAACTGCATTGTGCGCTATCTAGTTCACAATATACATTGGGTATACACAGTATACACATCCGGAGTATACACAGTATACGCGCCCTTATTATAGAATATCCCGGATATTATCATATTTTTTGGATGCACCGCGGGTATGATATTAACCGGGACCCACTGTATTGGAGGGTGCATTGATATTGACAACTGGACAACTACAGTCGAAATACTCCAAGTGAAAAGCAAAATATGGTACAAAGTAGCCAATATGCCAGGACCTCTCCCTTTCCCTTCAGCCGCAATATGTGTTGATCGATTGCATGTGATACTAATGGATACTCATGCTCTCTTCAGGAAATACTGCAGCGTTGTCAACCAATATCACAACCACCACTGCACTTTGTGCCACATACATCTATATGGAGATATCTCCCCACTCTACCTCAGACGGATTCGACAGCAGCCACTCTCTGTGGAGAGCTGGTAATCGTTGGTGGAGGGTTTGGAGAGTCATCAGTGACCAGATGGTGGGTGACAAGTGGGTGGAGATTGGTTGCTTGGTTACTGGGAGGAGGATGTGTTTCGTAGCCAATGAATCGTCTGAGAAGATATTCATAGTTGGAGGAGTATTGGAAGACAGTGTTGAAGAATGTACTGTTTTCGATGCAACTGCTTTTATGTAGGTGATTTAGGAGTATGTGCCTAATAACTAGAAGTTTGAACCTATTATATGTAACACAAGGGATATTTTTTCAAGTAAGTGTTGAATGTGCAGTGTGCAGTCCATGATGTAGGATGCAACGTTGCATTCAACTTTACTTCACCTCAAGCAACAAAGTTGCATTGTGTATCATGGCATTCAAAGTACAGCAATGAAGCTAGCCAATACTTTTTGCATGAGGCAACCATACACCTTTATCAGTATTCATAAAAGCTAACGATCCACCGTGAATACTCATATTTAGAGCATTCCTGGTCACACAATGATGTGTAAACCTGCATCGTCACCATCTGCACAACAACCATTACAGGTAGACTCCACGTGCATGCTATTCATTTGTTTACAAATTATTTTGCTGTCATACATTAAGGAATGCATCAGATCATATTCAAAATGCATGTGTGTTTCGATTATTGTTTGGCCTTCCATAAGAAAGGAGACTTGAAGAATGCGTTTGTGTGCTATATAGCTTCATAACTTATTACAACTCTCCATGTTATATAATATTATAGTAATGCAAAAGACTAAAAGTATAATTATAATGAAAATCCAATTGTCATGCTATATAGCTATATAAGCACGTGAGCAAAAACTATGGTGACCTGGATAGCTATAACGCAAAGTATAGCCTTTTAAGGCTAACAAATCCATACCACATTATGTGCTAATAACATTATGCATCAGATGTTTCCTACCCGCAAATTCCAGTATTGTATCATAAATAGCTAAGTCATATTCACCTTTGCATAGTTTAGGTATGAAAATGTATTCATGAACTATACACTACCTTCAGCCACCTGCTGTTGCTCAGAAACAAGTGTTCTGCACTACCCCTTGGGTGTATATACTACACCAGCAACATGCTATACGCGTAGCTACACAAGAATGTAATCGCAAATTGTGCCTGCTGCACCCAAACGCATTTGTTGTGGTTGTTGGGCTAGGTGTGTATTTAGCTAGTGTTCGTTCTAAGAATCTTACCAACTTACAACAGATGAGCACACAAAGCTATTTTGGTGTCAGTCTGTGTCTCTAATAAAGCATGCGTTCTATGTACTAGCTATCAACCCTCAGAGTTCTAAATAGTTATTCCTTCTCTTGTGACTCTTTTTCAGAAGTTGGTAGGCATTTGCATATTGCTCAAACTTCTCTGTGGCCTTCAGCTTCATTTTCTCTCCATGATGATGGTCTGGGTGCCACTTTGCTGCCAGCTCCTTGTACCTTTTCCCTCACCCCCTGAAACCCTGTCCCGGCTCCAATCCCAAAACATTGTAGGCATGGTATTCTTCCATTATAGTATTTGTAATGTTCACAAGTATCCCCCAAACTGCTTCAATCTTCCATTCTTGTTGGATGATTTCTGGGAGGTCCCAAAGGCCTCTTTTGATATCCTGCCAAGCCGGAGAATTGAAAGAACTATCCAAGGCAAAACGAACTTTGATTGAACCTCCATCGGCTGTCCGAAATGCACAAGAGCCACAGAGACAAAAAAGGATCAAGTAAGCCATAAAAACTGTCAACAGACACATCCGAAATGACGGGTTACCCTTTTCATTCCTCCACTTCCATCCATAAGTTGAGGGTATCATGGAGAAAACAGCTACTGAAAGCGGCCTGCTCGATGGTAAAAGACCTGTATAATACTTGCCAATGTATCCTACAAATAACTCATCAATGTATGCTTCAAAATACACACCAATGTATGCTCCGAAAAGCTCGCCAATGTATGCTCCAAGCAAGGACCACCAAAAGGAACTTTGCTGCCGACCGGCATTGCTGACCATGTATGTTCCAAAGGCTGTCCCCAGAGGAATGATAAATTGCAGCATAGTCCATGACATGGCTGTCCCAGGGTATAGCGCAGTAGATCAGTCCACGGTAAAAGATTCCAAACATCACCTGGCTCACAATACGATGCAAGTTGTGGGAAATTTGTGGACAAATTCTTGGATTCTTCAACAAAATTTTAAGCTCCTCAGTGGGTTTAATGCCACTGATTGTATCTGTTGGTGGTTCTGAGAATGGAAAAAGAATGATACCCATGAAGTCAAAATGGCACCTGCTCCACCCCTTCCCGGCTATAATTATAGGACATAGCTACATAGTGCAAGTGAAAGTAGCTGGCCTACCACGCCAGCCAACACTTACCTAGTGGTTTATCACTTTGGACACTTGGTTCCTCTGACCTCACTTTCTCCTCTTCTGGTTCATTGTTAAGCTGTTCTGAATAAGAGAATGCACGTTAAAACACTTTAGACGCTAGTTACTGAGCATGCCTGAAGCACTTGAGTCCTTCAGTTCCAAAATCAGCTTCTCTATAAACTCCGGATCATCGTTAGCATCCCTGACATACTCCGACAGTCTTGTGAAGTCTCTCAACCAACCTTGCATCAAAGGACGAGCACAGATACGGAATATATAAAAGGTCCAGTTTGCTAATTAGAAATTGAAACAGATTGCTTGATTTAAATCAGCTATGCACTAACACTATCTAGGTAGAGGCTCATTTAAACAGCAGGCACGCCAATAGGACAAAAATTGAAGACTAAAAGCATCACCAGTAATAATTATCTTCGCTCAAACAATATGCGCCATTTTGCGAAGCATAGAGCGGATGATTGCTTAGGTCCAACTGTAGTTTACAGTCGTCATAAGGAGTTTTGCTACCCACGTGGGATTTAGTATTTGCATGAAAGTAACCATCAATTTATATATTTTTTACTACAAGAATCATGCACAAACCCATTATAACTATAAAAGAGTCTCAGTTTATAGCTATGTATAAAAGTAAGCACTTATTTAAGCAGACGACGAGTCAGAGAACGAATCGTAGAATTTCTTCCACCTGTGAGCATCTTTATACACTTTGTAGGCGTCTTCATATCGCATAATCTCTTCCTGAGTTTCACTGTTCTCATCTTCGCAGTGATCCGGGTCTCTATCTCCAACCAGCTGTTTGTATCTCTTTGTCACATCTTCAAAGTCTGTTTCAGGATCAAGTCCCAGTACTTCGAAAGCACGATATTTTCCATCAAAATCTGCAATGTAATCAACCTTTCCCAGATTGCTATTCTACCACCTGTTTTGTATAGTTCAGTTATATTTCCAGAGTTGAAGAATTTGTCAAAAACATCATGGAATTTAATAACACCCCCGTCATTTGCCTTTATTGATGCATTGCAGTATATGAAGGAGCCACTAAGAATCAAGCACACGATAAAAGAAAACAATGCCACAAAAAGCAATTTCCCACAGGATGCATCTTCCTCTTTTTCCCTCCATTTCCACCCATAGGTTGAACATAGCATGGAGAACAAAGCTACTGAAAGCGGCTTGCTCAAAGGCAGAAGACCTGAAAAATACACGCCAATGTATGCTCCAAAAAACTCGCCAATGTATGCTCCAAGCAAGGACCACCAAAAGGAGCTTTCCTGTAGGCCCACATTGCTGACCATGTATGTTCCAAAGGCTGTCCCCAGGGGAAGGATAAATGCAGCATAGTTCATGACAGGGCTCTCCCAGGGTATAGCACAGTAGATCAGTCCACGGTAAAAGACTCCAAACATCACCTGGCTCACAATACGATGAAAGTTGTCGGAGACTCGTGGACCACTCTTTGAATACTTTTTATTCTGCCTCAGCCGCTCCACAAAAAGGTATCTCTTGTTGGAATAATGGACATACTTTTGCAGTCGAAAGATATCCCCCAAATAACCTTGCAACAAAAGATAAGAAAATATAGCTGTGAGCGTCAAGAGTTGTGTGTTTGGGACATTGTGAACTGTCCCAAACCTAATATGAGTTAGCTACTTAGTCTGGCGTATATAGCCCACGCGGAGAAAGTGTGTGCTACGGCAACATTTTTATTGTAAGCTAAACTAGCTAAAAAATATTTGCAGCTTTACCGATTCCAAAGAGACCGCCGAAGGACGTCAGCCATAGCACTCCCTGACGGTAGCGACGGAGATAGAAATGGTGGATTCCAGCCCAGCCGAGGAAGAACCACAACAAGTAGGCGACCAACTTAGATTTTGACTTTGCGACCTCCGTGGACGTCTTATCATCTTCCAGTGCTTTCCTATTTTCTTTTTCCATAGATTTCTTCTTCTGCTTCGTCTTTCGTCTTGCGTACACTGCTTCCTCTTTCTAAGGGCTGCGCCCCTATAAATTCATGCGTTGGGCACGCAAAGCAAGGTTTGACAGCTTGAAATTTTCCCATGACGTTGGTAGCTACACGCGCACTTATTAAGATGACGTGGCTCCCCGATCAGCGCGACAACCGAAAAAGCGTGAGCGATTTACGTCACGCGGCGACATCCTGCAACCCCGGCACGCATGCACAGCGAGGGTTGGTTTGTCTGTCTACCTGTGTTTAAACCGCAGTCACGCGCAATTGACCAATCAGATTACAGAATTGCGGGGGGTTTATTTTTCATAGACACCTCGTTTCAGGTGTCTAATGGCGTTTGCAGGTGGTCTACAGCAAACTCCCCGTACAAAATGGCTATTTTCAAAAGTCGTTATCTGCGCAAACCGGTCGATTCCGTGTTCGGTATATGTAAGCGTAGAAGGCGCGACTGGCAAAGTAGCTCTTTTAAAATGCGTAGTGCACCTGCAAGAAGTCTGTGGACAGTCTCCGGAGCTCGCGAAAGTCAGAAATAACGTCAATATTCCACGAAAAAAGCGTCGGCTTCTTCAGCTCTGGCGATACACAAACACATTGGGCCGTTGCCGTGCGTTGCTAACCATTTCAAACGCGCACCACCAATGAGGGCGTTTTATGATGACGTAAACGATTTTTGACTGGGGGCGGGGGCTGTCTCCTCGGAGTCTCACACGTAAAAAAAGCGTCTTGTTCCATCCGAAAGTAAGGAATGAGGAATGAGCGCAGCGTTGCTAGCTTGTTGCTACCCATTTGAACGCGCAAACACCAATCAGATACTCCGATCTAAACCGGTTAGACGCGGAAGCTCGGTTGTCTACGCAACATTGCAACCCTCGGGGCATGTGGGTAGCGCCCTCGCTGCGCTCGGGACGCCAACATTCCACAGCCCCTCGGGTTGCAATGTAGCGTAGACACCTCGCTTCCGCGTCTAACCTATATGTCTACCTGTGTGTCGACGTTTATTCTCGCACTACAGGCCACGAGGCGGCCAATGAGCGATACCAACGGCTTCAGAACTACGCGAGCCTGAAAAATAAAAGGGTGAAACGACTGCGTTCGAGAGATATGCCGTGAAAACAAGCGAAAAAGCCAATATGCATAATCGCACTAGGCTTACCGCGACCTGATCCGCTCGCTCTGTGTACCTTGGGGGCTCAGGAAATCACGAGGAATGGCACGTATCGACTCCCGCATGCTATCTACTAGCCCGTGTCAGACTCTCCGCGAGTTACTAGCGGGAGATCATGAGTATGCGCATACAAATAGCCCAGCCCATCAATTAGCAGTATCGTGAATGCGCAGTTCGCCGAGGGTTTGCACTTTCATTATTATAGAGACATGGAAGCTCAAAAGGGATATAGCTAAGTGAGGAGTGTGGTGATATAAACGCTGGAGTAGGTTTTAGAAAAACTGAACTTCCTGAAAGCTGTGCTCACCTAAATTGAACTGCGCCTGCAATAACTCTGCATGTAAGTTATTGCAGTGTGTCTCGATTTCCAGAGGTAATGACAAACAAATTCATACCTATTCGTTAACAGCTCCGCTCTCTCTCGGGGGCGTGGCTACACTAGAGACTGCGCGCGCGGCGCTGCAATTAAATTCGCCTCAGTTTAGTCAACTTGATAGGAAGAGGAGAGTTCGAAGAGCATCTCACGATAACTGTAACTTCGCAGGTCAGGAGTAGCTACTACGAATCTATCGACGTTTTGTTATGGAGTACAAAATGGAAGTTTTACTTATTTCAGCCCTGCTTGTTTTGACAAGTGACGTCGCTCGTGCTCAAAACACTGCATTGGCAACAGCAGTGCTGAGTATAGCTCCAAAAGAATTTCTTGCAATTGCTATGGCAAATCCATTTACTGCGACGGCAGTTGTAATTTCAATGGTTGGTGTTTATGGTTTCGCCCTAAGTTATACATTTTACAGAGATGTTACTGCCCTTAATATGTGGGTACAAAGATTAACCCAAACGTTTCAAAGAGAATAATATTAAAACCGACGAAAACTCCTGCTGGTGTATAGATAATCCTCCACCACCTTTGGAGGAGGCGACGTGGACCCTTTCTTTTTATTCAAAGTTTTATACTAAAAAACTTTCAACTATCTGCAGTAATGATGACTTGAAAAAAATGAAATGTCAGGGTGCCGTGGATGACTGTATAGCTGCTGTACACATAATAAGGTCTCTCTGCGGTTATGCATAGTTGTTGCTGTTTATATATACTGTTACCTAGCGGGTAACTGTTACCTATGTTACCAATGACTGCTTGATTATACCATATGCTGTATACCTACCTACTGCTGTCTTGTATTATGAGTGTTTCTAGTTGCGGTTATGCGTACGCATAACTTACATTGTCGGCATTCGGCGATTAGCGGACGGCTCGGCGTTTCGTTAGCACCGATACAAAAATGTAAAAGGCTGTTTGGGATGCTTCCTATTAGTAATTAGCGCGCGAGGAAAGCTCTGCTGTATATAATACACGGTACCTATACCAATAAGCGGTTAGCTATATATAATATTATAATTCGCCGACAAAGTTGGTTTCATCCAACCTGAAAAAATTGTAGATAATAATAAAGCGTATCTTGCGATAGTTGCGAAGGCCGCAACCCCGGCCGCGACAGTGGCAAATGTTAGACCAAACTCAGCCCGAGCAACGTCACAGGTCAGAATAAGGATGGACAAAATGAGCGATTTTTTCAATGACGAAAAAACTGTTAGCTACTTAGCTACTAACTTTTGAGCTACTTCTATGTAGCTCGTAGCATCATCTCACTTATGCGGCGGGCCCCTTTTTCTACCAAAGAGATTCAGGATTTGCTGCTAGAAGAGATGATTGTGCTACTGTTGGTATTCATTGCACCAAGCGGGCCATTTCCAAAAGTGCAAAAGCTGTACCCCCATGAATTATGGATCCGGTGTAGTTGTAAAGCTAACTGAACAAGACCTCTGTTATCTTGCAAACAACAGCATTTGACCCTATAGCCTAAATAGTGGAATGTAGGTGCTTCCTCTGCAAATTTATTACTACGGTGAATAGGTTTTAGCAACGCATGACCACACACACCACCTGCAATGGTTTGGATAGGTAGCTGCTGCAGGTGGTTGCTGCTAAGTGAGATCACCAGTGAATAATAATATTATTAGGGGACCATTGGTAACGTAGATAATACAGACGCACGTGAAAAGCACGTACCTTCCGTGCACATGCACCTTTCGCTCATAAGTGCCCGCAATCCGTGAGGAGCGAAGCGAGCAGTTAAATATTTCGCACCGTAATGTCTCTATGCAGTGCTCATAACTCTGGTCGCATTCACTGAATCAACGAAGGGATTTACTTTTGGTGGGCGCGGACTAGACTTCCTACGAATGACGGAAGTTACACTTCCTAAGCGTGACTTAACGCCGGTGGGTCACGTGCCCTATAACGCCTGTTCATGATGAGAGGGCGAATCCAGCCAGCACGGCATCATACTATTGTGTCTGCCAATAGTGGAGGTTCCTATACTATGTACGAGTGTCGAATGGTAGATTGAAGAAGATCTGCACAGCACGCTCACTTCTCTCTGCTCGCGAATGATGCTCGTCACATTGCTAATGCACATAATAAGCACGTTGGGGGCACAAGAGGAATTTGCTAAAGATAGGGAGTGCATCCAACAAACAACCACTGGGGGGGGGGGTTCATAGTTCATAGTGTGGCCAGCCTTACATCAATGGGTCAAGGATTTAGCTCGTCCCTGCAGTCAAATTAAAGATCGGTTGACAATACACCTCTGAGTTTAGCTCTGAGTCACTGGTTTGTTATGCATCCTCCTCCTCCACTGGATAACAAAGAGGATAAAGCCTCCTGACTATAACCGTTGTGAGCTCTTCGCCATCTAAGTGCCAGTGTAAATAAAAGAGGAAGTGGGAGAAAACGTCCGATGTTGACTAATCTCGGCCTAAGCAGTCATATTATACATTTGAGAATCATTGAATTGTCAGAACGGGAAGAAGAGCCAACGTGCATTTATGGTGATTTTTGCCACAAAGGATGTCCAATCCAGCAGCAAATGTGACCGGCACAAAAGTGACATTGCATGAGCGTGTCAGTAGTGCCGAAAGTGATGTTTGAACACTCCACACTCCGTCCTTTCATCAGTCTCAGAGTATGTAGGGTTTGGCACCTAATCATAACAGTCACAGTAACTGCATGATAAATAGAGGAGTGGATTAGTGGGTTTTTTGTGGTAGATGTCTAGTTATTGAGTATACCACTCATTTTTGGCGAGAAGCTTGCAGGAACTGAGTGGCGCGATGGTAACTGAGCATGCGTTTCATCTGGTGATAACAATAGTGTTCGTCGCCTATATACTATATAGTACGGTTCAACAGTATTCATAAAGAGGGCTCTTTGATTGGTTGTTGCTAAGCAATGAGCATGACTATATAATATGGAAGAGAATAACACTGGTATTATTATACTCCTTGTTACGTCCGGCCGTGCTCACAGACACAGTGAGGAACGCTTTCCTTGAGACTAGCATCAGATGGCCAGCCCAGAATCAAAACGCAATCAAAACCTCAGAAGAAGCTAGACCAGTTTCACGAACGCAAAAGTATGCATGGCACGTAAAGCGGGCGAGATAATTGAACGTGACGTCACATCCGGAGCCCCGTTCTAATTCTGGCTCCAGCGTTCTACGGTACTTAGAGCGGCGTAGCGCGTAGCTCTTACGGTATGCTCTATATATTACAGTAACTGTAGTATGCGTGAGAAAAAGAACGGACGCTCTAGCTAGCTTGTTCCTGCGCGGAAATCTGGGCTGAGAAAGGATAGTTGTTAGCATCATGACTGGAAATCGATGTGTTCTGTGTAGCTCTACACGTGCAACAGACCCTGGAGCCTCTCTTCCCAGGTTAAGCTGAGGCTCCTTGCTCGGGTCTCCACCAGGAAAGCGTCCGCTACACAGCCGAGAATATGGCGTCAGCACCTAGCTGTAGATTTGCAATCCA